TGAACCACTGAGCTACACGACCCACTTCAAAAGGAAGCGCTGCAACTAGGACCTTACTACGCTTCCAATAGACATAACCAATCTACTCATACGAGAGTAAGGATGTGCCGAAGTTTTACTCGCCAGTGGGCACTCTCGGTTTTAGATTAGTCAATTAGAGCAGTTCAAAATCAAATCGGAAAATCCTGATCGTTGGAATTATTTATGAAGATAGAATAATGCAGTACAACATTGATATGATATGATGAATAAGTGTGATCGTTCTGTTTGTGTGAACGATATGAAATAAACTGAGCAGACAATCGACGCAAATCATTTCAACCAAATACGACCACGACGAGACACAAGACATAGGCAATCATGTGACAAACCGTGTGTGACCGTATTCCATCGTGACAAATTGGAAAGGTATGAATGAGGAAATGTTAATCTTACACAATACAAGAGATGTACTTTAACCGTTTTCGTTTATATCATCCTCATGATATTCTATTATATCTCCTGAGAATCGAATCGGAAACCGGGTTAATACTATCTCTTGGTATTTCTTGAAGATATTGTTACCATTCATACCTTTCACAACGATTAATGAATGAGATGGAAATACATAACAGCAAACATAACTACAAATCATCACAACAGCACTCTTACGAGATTCCTTCCAGCTGTAATTTATGAATGAATTACGTTTGTTCTATTGTTGCGGCATCATCAGCTGGAGGACCCCCCGACCCCCCCCCCGAGAGCAGTAATGGACGGTTAAAAGATTGGGAAAAATAAGATATAGATAGTAAGGAGGTGATGATAGATAGAGGAAAAGATAAATCATAACCTGGGCATGGTAGAAAGATTAGATAGAACATGAATGGCAAATAATTCTTGATAGATAAGATATGAGTGGAAATATTAGATTAGATTAGAAAGTTATCATGAAATAGATTATACAGTTAGAGACAAGATAGAAAGAGCACAAGGAATAGAGAGAGGAGAGCAGAATTCGGTAGAGAGAGAAAGAGAGAGAGAGATGAGAGAAAGATGAGCAGAAGCGAGGAAGAGAGAAAAGAGAGACGAGAGAGACGAGGAAAGAAAGAGGAGAAAGAAAAAGAGAGGGAGAGAGAGAAAGAAAGAGAAAGTAAGAGAAAGGAAAGAGAGAGAGAACAGACAAAAGAGGGAGATCGAGAGTAGAGAGAGCATGAGAGAAAGAAAAGAAAGCATAATAATATAGAGAAAAGGGAAAAAGAAAGAGAAGAGAGAGACGAGCGGAGTAGGAGAAAGAAAATTCAAAAAACAAAAACGCAATTAGCAGCAAGAAGGGGAAATAAAAATGACTAGGTGGGGGGAGTAGGCTATGGGAGGAAAAATTACAATGACGGAAGGAGCTTAAGTGGGGATGCAATTCAGGGTGATATGTAAGACTGTGAATTTCTTGTCAAGAAAGGAATCATCGTGAAATTTTGAAAACATATAATTATCTTCGGTTTTGCTATAACGATGATGATTAAAACATTGATAAGTATGGTAATAATGATAATCTAAAAAAAAAAAAAACACCATAATAACACATATGATAAGGTAGGATAATAATAAGTAATAAAAATGAGATAATGATTAGATAAGGATAATAACAACAGTAACAATAGCAACAACAAACAATAATAATAATAATGTATCAATAAAATGATATTGAGACTAATGGTGATGAAAAATATTCACAGTTAGACGAATAAAGGAATGACAAGAAAGAGGGAAGATAAAACGGTATCAGGAAAAAAGAGTTTGTTAGTGAGAGAGAGAGAAAACAAAAATGAAAATCATCTATGTTGCGTTTCATTTACAATGATTTGGATATGTTGGAATAATGACGGTGCTACAGTGTCCCTTTGTCCACCACATGCAGAGGCATTATGAAAACTACTAAACATAAAGGGTTGTTAATGAATATGCGCTTATATAAACCCCCTGCAAAAAGTTGGCAAAACATGACAAATATTCATGTACATAGGTTTAACGACTGATCTGCTGGGTTCGGCTTGTATTAATGAGAGACTGGGTAGAGGGGAAAATATAATAGGTGTCTCTTCCATGCTTGTTTTTTGGGTATCTTTTGTTGCATTTCTCTCGCTTTGTCTGTCTGTCTGTCTCTGTCTGTCTGTCTCTGCCTTTCTCTCTCTCTCTCACTTTCCTTCCCTCCCCCTCCCTCTCTCCCTCTTTCTCTCACATTCCCT